AGATCAAGTTAAGCATACCCCAGATGCATGTAATGAGACGGAAAAGGCTGACTGAGGAGCACATTGCATTTGTGAAAGGATTGCCCCGTTTATGTCATAACGGCAAAGTAGAGGTTCTGCTCCAACTGCTAATACCTGGAAAGGAGAACCAACAATAAACTTTAGGATATTGGTTTTCCTTTGTGCTTCCTTTCTACAAACTAGGTGTTTCTTTAGGAGTTAAACAGGCAACCCCATAGATATAATGTATTCTTCTACCAATTGCTCCCCATCAATAAAAACAAAAAATTTAACATACCAATTCCAGCCCCATTCCTTGGGATGAAGATTTAATAACAGTATCCTTATTTGCTGATATCTTAACAATGCATCTTATCCCGTTAAGAAGTTAGTTTACTAGTTTGATGAATTTAAAACAACCATAGTTATTGGTCCACACCCTTTTCTCCTGGAACTTAAAAGTTACTTCTTTTTTTAGAAACACTAGGTGCCTAACTAAGTTCAGTTACAGTAAGGGGAGCTCACTTGATTTTCGTCGAATACTACATCCTGTACAGATGCACAAGTTGAAGTCCTTGAAATGCATTCAGAAGCAGGAAGATTCCAAACTGATAAACTCCGACCACTACCACAAGCCTACAGAAGAAAAACATTTAGTAAATCATAGCAGCAAGCAACTTCAACAGAGTGCAATGCAACAACATTCCCATCACATAAATGCTTACCAACCAGCTTTCACTTGCATCAAGAGCCATGCAACTTACGCACGAAAAAAATCCTTTCAATTTAGTACCCTTTGCTGGCTCATACACTTGAACACACTTTCCACTTTTGCAATCTGGGTAAAACCATAAACACATGTTACTAAGAACAAGCCCAATGTGTCTGGACATTTAATATAATGAAGTGGTAGTCAAAGACTGGAACATACTAACTATGAAAGAAAACAATAACTTTGTTGATGGAAAATTATTCTTCTGAACTTTCTGCCACAATCCTTGAAAATTAAAAAAGTTAGGTTTTTACCCCATATACGTGCTGTCCCATCCTCTGAACCTGTTATGATCTGATTGGTAGAGTTCCGGGCAACTATAGAATGCAAGTAGTCTGAGTGCCCCTTAAAAGTCATTTTGACTTTACCACTTTCCTGAAACATTTCCAATACAAATCATGCCGGGATCAGTGCGGCTAGGGAATTATGACAAGAACAATGTAACATAATGTACGGTAATATGTATGTGCTTTTACACAAAAACTTCATTGCACAAGTGAAAGATTCACCTTGAACAAATACATACCACATCCCAGCAATAGACACAAGAATCACCCGCAGCAGAAAAAATGGATCCCCCCTATTGTGGTAAAAGAGATGTTAACACACTATTTTCCATGCTCATAAAAGAAGAAACTATATGACTAAAACAATAGCATACCTGATCATTAACGGCAAGAGCATTGTTTTCAGGGATTGGAGATAAAGCCCCCCAAGGACCTCTAAAAACACAGCAGTAAAATACAAGAAATGTGAACTAAAGTAATGTCGGGGACTAATCATAGCCCGTGTTATAAGGCAGAAAGACAAATGTCCTTGTTTAGAAGATTCTTATTCAGGTTATGAAATTCAGGGGGATGAAATAGAGGACCCTGAGAGTCTTTTCTTTTCGGTGACTTACTTATGCTGCGGATTCACCAGGTCAAGTAGTGGCTTCACATGGTTTCCTACAAAAGCAGGAAGAAACAATGTGAATAATATAAATTTCCAGAATTAGAATCAAATTCAATTTTCATGAACCAAAGCAACATACCAAATTAAAATAACAACGCAACGTTAGCTGGACTAATACTAATTCACATGGTATGGTAAGCTGTCAAAAACCTAAATCACCTTGCAAATGAATAGGTGCCTCTGCTTCTACACAATCCTTCCACTTCCAACCTCGAATCCGACCATCGTCACCACAACTAAGTGTAAAAATTCCGAGAAAATCAATTAGTGTAAATATGGCGAAATTAAGAAATAACTCAAAAAAGCTGATCAGAATATTATAAGCGTATAATTGAACCTCAGCAAAACAGCATCCTCGCCATGGCCGTAAAACTTAACATCGTATGCAGGGCCATCGTGAGCTTGAAGGAAGCAAGCGGGTTCAGCCATTAACGAGCTACAAATTAAATTAAAATTCCACCACATGTAAAACCAACATCAGCTGCTGTCAATAGTCAATGCGACATCGTAGAGTTACACAAATACTTACTGTGGAGCTTTCACATTGCTAAAACCCAGTGGCTGCAACAACCCAAAAAAGCCATAAATAAGTTTTAAACAAAATGAATATTGAAAATTGAGATTTGGAGGAAAATGAGGCACGTACGGGCTTGGATACGAGGGAGGGGATGGAGTATGAAGAAACCGATCCATCGCTGGAGGCGACGACGATGGCTTCCGGGTTAGGGTTAAGGGATGGAGCCCAAACGGTTCGGAATACGGTTCGGGTTTGGATCTCCCTCTCCTTCAATATGGTTTCTCTGTATGATTCTTCGTCCCAGTTCCTTGCGTCCCCGCACATGGTGGCTTGGTTGTGGACGACTGGCCGTTGAGTTGAGCTCTGTGAAATCTCTGAGCTTTCTCACTGACTCACTGAACGTTGGCTGCTGGAGCTGAAATCAAACATGGACTTGCCGGTTTGGCGCAAATAAAAAACAATTGGGCTGGACAAGGAAGAGTGCTTGTTAATGGGCCTTTCTCCTTGTAAATTTAGAGTGGGCCCTATGTGCTATAGGCCCGTGTCCTCCGGAAAGGTAGGCATTATGCGTGACACCAAAGTTTCTCTTCTAATCTAAATTAAAAAGTATATTAATACGAGTTGAGAAATCTCAACCCAAACAATTTTAAAATTTCAAATGACTTATGTCTAATTCCTTCCCCAAAAAAAGAACTTGTAAGGTAAAACATTAAAATAATGTGTAGCTCGCCTAATTTGCCCATGTAAGATACATTATATGATAATGACTTATCGTATTTTGTTGTGTTTATATTGTTTTGCCTTCATGTTATATGAAATTATCGTAAACTTAAATATATCTTGTTAACCTATAATGTTAAAACAAAAGTATAGAGATAAATGTGATTATCATGTTAAACATAAACTCATCCGTTAAAAACACATGTCATTATCATTTAAATTTGTTATCGACTCAACTCGAACTATATTGTGTTTTATTGTGTCTTATTAGCAGAGAAAACTTAAAGAAAACACAAGCATTATGATTCGTGAAAGGGTTCTTGATATTCACCCAATAAAAAAGAAATAATCATTTTCTTTTTGTATTGACAATAAAAATTAAAATAATAAATAAACAGAAGCAGAGGGCAGCAATTCGGGCGCATATGCTAAAGTTCTCGTTGGTTAACACGCACTCCTCGTATTCTCCCAACCCCAGCGGCATCTTCAAAGCCGCTTGCTTTCACCAAAAACCCTAGAGATTCTCATTCATCCCCGACAAACCCAAATCAAAATCAAGATCTATGGAGCCCTAATCAGAAGAATCTCAAGGTATCGCAAGCTCGTCTGCTGGAACTGTGAGTGTATTTCTAGCTCGTCGTCTTAAATTTCACAGATCTGTTAGCCTGCTGAATTGTGTTTTTATGATATTCAACACTTGTTCGTATGAAGTTTTATAATTATGGGGTCGTTTTGAACCTAGGAAAAGGATTAGAAAAGAAAAAGCTTTGGGGTATTTCTGTGAAATTGTTGCATCAGGTGGAAAAAAAAAAACGGTGTTGAACTGTTGCTATGCTAAATATTCCCAGATGATCTAATGGGTTGTTTTTGTTTTGTTTTGCCTTAATTTGAATTGGTTGTTTTTGTGCTTCAGATAACAAATACTTTCATTTAGGAATCTGAGTCAATTAAGTAGTTGCAATGGGTGATAACAACAATTCTCCACCTGGGTCTCCTAAGGAGGCAGATCATGATTCTGATGCAAACCAACTTGTTAAGGATGATAGCTCACTGGAAACCATAGTCCGAAAGTTCCAAGATTCAATGTCAATTGGAAAAAGGCACGCATTTTGGGAAACTCAACCTGTTGGGCAATTTAAGGATCTTGGGGATGTCAGCTTGGCCGAGGGCCCGATTGAGCCCCCCACACCGTTGTCTGAGGTCAAACAAGAGCCTTACAATCTTCCGACTCAATATGAATGGACCACATGTGACCTGGACTCTGAAGGTACCTGCACTGAGGTCTACAATCTGTTGAAGAATAATTATGTTGAGGATGATGAGAACATGTTTCGATTCAATTACTCGAAGGAGTTTCTCAGGTGGGCTCTGCACCCTCCTGGTTATTTTAGGAGCTGGCATATTGGTGTTCGTGCAAAGACTAACAAGAAGCTGGTTGCTTTCATTACTGGTGTTCCTGCTAGAATCCGGGTCCGTAATGAGATAGTGAAAATGGCTGAGATTAATTTCTTATGTGTGCATAAGAAGCTTAGGTCGAAGAGACTTGCACCTGTTATGATCAAGGAGGTCACAAGGAGGGTTCATTTGGAGAATATATGGCAAGCAGCATACACAGCTGGAGTAGTTCTTCCAACTCCAATCACAACTTGCCAGTACTGGCATAGGTCTTTGAACCCAAAGAAGCTTATTGATGTTGGGTTTTCAAGGCTTGGTGCTAGGATGACTATGAGCCGAACAATAAAACTGTACAAGTTACCAGATTCACCAGCTACTCCTGGATTCAGGAAAATGGAACTTCGTGATGTCCCTGCTGTAACTCGGTTGCTTAGAAACTACTTGAGCCAGTTTGTGGTTGCACCAGATTTTGATGAAAATGATGTGGAGCATTGGCTTCTTCCTGAGGAGAATGTGGTGGACAGTTACTTGGTCGAGAGCCCAGAGACTCATGAGGTGACCGACTTCTGCAGCTTCTACACTCTTCCTTCGTCTATCCTCGGCAATCAGACCTACTCAATCTTGAAGGCTGCATACTCCTATTATAATGTATCCACAAAGACTCCACTGCTTCAGTTGATGAATGATGCTCTAATCGTAGCAAAACAGAAGGATTTTGACGTCTTCAATGCGCTGGATGTCATGCAGAATGAGTCATTCTTGAAAGAGCTCAAGTTTGGACCTGGTGATGGGCAACTTCACTACTACCTCTATAATTATCGGATGAGGAATGCATTGAAACCCTCAGAGCTCGGGCTTGTACTGTTATAGTTTTTCCAGTCTTTGGTTTTGCACTGTGAACCGAGAAATTATTTCCGTTTCTGTTTTTCCCCCTATTTTGTGGCCAGCTAGCTGATGCTTTCATTTGTCTTGCTCCTTTGGATCAACAACAGAGAATGAGATGTTGGCAATTACATCTTAAACATTTTCCCTTATTTGATCCCTTTTGCCTCTTCAATTTCATAATCGTTTATGTTTCTGCAGTTCAGTTGCATAACGAAGCTGATGGCCTTAGGCTATTTTATTATTTTCACTTGGCGCTACAATGAGATGGAAGACCATATATAACCCATAACCAAATTCACTCATTTATGTTTAGCAAATTTTGGCAAACTCCTGGTCTGTTATCTCTGTCACGCAGGGGTAATTTGAAAATAAAAAAAATAAACAAACAATTCCATCACATAAAAACGAAATAAATTCATCACTGTAAAGCTATAGTTTTATGATTAAATGAAAATATAAAATTACATCACTTAAAACCTGTATATAAACCGCGTGATCCTCAATAGACAGATAATTCAAAAACCATTCTCCATCAGCAGCCACCAGGTCCGGTCTGAAGGGTGTAGTATAATAAACTATTATTATTAGGAAAATGAGCAAAAAAAATATTGGCTTGGTTGCACCTCAGGAGCGAATGGAAGTATAGCGAACTAAATTTACAAGTTCTAATCACAGGTGTCATCTTCCGATTGGATAAGACAGGGATTCATATCTCATGCCATCAGCAGAACTTCACCTTCTGAACCTGTCAAATTAGGAGGCATGTCAACGTATAGTTAAAATCATGTGGAAAAGCAATGCAAAAGATAAGACACAACAATTGGGAAGTTTGGGTGTTACATTTCTCAAGAATCTCTGCTGCCACCTGCAGCGTTGATTCTGCTTCTTCAGCCATCTCTGACAACCTCTCAAGCTCTTTCACTGCTTCTGCTGCCACAAACGATTTGTTTTCGGCATCAGCAATCTTGTAGGCAGCAGCCACTGCCGATTCCTCTATCGGATGGATGTCCTTTTGTTTCGGGGCTTTCGTCCTGTAGCAATTTTGAATCTACATTTTGATGACATGGTAACTTAAATGAGTTGATATTCAATGTCGATTTCAGCTGGCAATGTAATCTGGCCAGCAACTAGCTACAATGTTAAGTTGCAATCAAGCATAAAAAAATAAAAATAAAAAGGTGCGCAGAAAAACATTGATTTAGCCATTTAAAATTGCTAGTTGCAAATAAACATACCATTGATAGAGCCAGATTAATCCTGAGTTAGAAAACATACAATGATTAAATTTGGGCTGAAAAAAATAAAACCAATCACCTTTTCAAGTTTCTCTTGGTGAACCAGCCTTCTCAACCTATTACTTAATGACCTTCTAAAATTTGGGGGGATTTCATTCCTTTGCTGCACAAATCATTTTCAATATCATGAAAATTGAGTAGTAATAAAAATTAAATTAATATTTACAAGGGTAATAAACATTCAATAACACCTCATGACAATGTAAAGGCAGTAACAAGCAGGTAACATCATTAGAGACATCCAAAAACAATGTCAATAGGAAGCTTTTCTTTGTAAATTCTTTACAGAAAATTGCATTCTCACCATCAAAATAAGTAAAAGTAATCTATTTGAAGATCATCCTAATATAAAGAGCTCGACTGGTATTGAAATACCAGCTTAGATTTAGGTATTATCAATCAAGTAGCTAATATGAGATAGAATAGATATGTTGGTCTTCTAACAAAATGATGTACCAAAATGATATTTTCAAGAAGTAAAATTAAGTCAAAGTTTTTTCAGCTCTAGCATATGGACACATGATGTACCATGATTAATTGAAACATGAATCTACAAGAGTTTATAAAGGATCAAAATATTATCATTTCACGACAATTTTCTTTCCCTTCCAAGTACGAATATACAGCTTCCTCCATAGTAAGCCCAGATATTTTTTGTTTCATTTTGTCAGGACAAGAAAGAAAGCATATATTTCAAGTGTACCTCAATAAAGCTAGCAATAGCACCAGAGTCCAATCCATTTGGCCCTGTTGAGGTAGAAAGTGCTTCAAAAATCATTGCATCATACCTAATAACAGAAGAAGATGATTGACCAAAATGAAATTGACTCGAAGAACAGGAGTAGCTATTGGAGTTACAGAAATTGATAAAATGAAATGGATAACAACTGTAGGCATATACGTAGAAATAAATCCTTCTATTCACTTTGTTACTTAATCCTAAGAGTTATGTAATCTACAGATGTTACGTTTGCCGTGAGAGGCTTGAGAGTGTTAAAGCATAGGACTGTGGCTGTGCTGAAACTACAGCATCATAAAATATGATTCCAGGAAGAGAGCAAAGCAAGATGCACCAACTAGGCTAATTGTTGCGTGTCACACAACAATATTATAGTTCAGAATATAATAACACACTTCCACATCTTTCAATTAGTCAGGATATTTCTTCATGGGTGTTCTCGAAGAAACTATGCAATAGAAACATTCATTCTTATTGCAAGCAGGAGGAAGTATACGAGCTAAGAGGAAACAAATTATTTTTCTTTTTATACCTGAAACTACTCCTTATTTTGTAGCATCTACTTATATATGCATAGAGCAACACTATGTTTATAGAGCTGAACTCAAATGATCGAATCCTTGTCAACTTAGTACGACTGTAATATTTACAAAGATGGCCACCTCACATCTAGTTATCAACTGAAGAGTCCTTAGCATCATCAACCATTAACTCCTTTCCTCTCCCCTTTATCCCGACTGACCTGACTGATTAGTCAGCTACCCCATCACCATTACTGTGCCAATTCATACAACTCTAAAGAGCTATTTCGTTCCGCAATGTAACCATGTTTCTTCCACTCATCATTCCCCACACAGAAATTCAGCAAATTCCAGTCACAGTATAGTTCAGTGGAAATTTCATAGTGAAAGAGTACCATGTGACAACCTGCATATTTTTTTCTATTGTATTAATAAAAGACAACGGCAATGAGAAACAAATGTCATACGCTGGAGCAGTTTTTGCATCAGATAAGCCAGTTGAGGAATCATCTGCAACTGGAGCTGCTGGTGCATCATGCCTGACTGGAGTTGCTGCTGGTGCATCGCGTCTGGCTGGAGTTGCTGCTGGTGCATCACGTCTGGCTGGAGTTACTGCTGGTGCATCGCGTCTGGCTGTAGCTGTAGCTGCTGCTGGTGCATCGCGTTTGGCTGAAGCAGCAGCAGAAGTTTGTGAAACGGACACTGAAGCAGCAGGAGCATCGGCGTTGGCTTTTGCTTTTGGCGCCCTTGACTTATCTCTGGGGTTCATGCCACTAACAGTCATATTCCTCCATTTGTCCTATACAAGCAAAACCCAAGTTCAACCACAGACCAGGCACACAGTAATTAACTGAAAAAATATATTGTTCCACTGTATTAGATGCAGTCTGCAAATAGTTCTGATATTAAGAAGCTTAATTCATTGAAATATAATTTAGGCTAGCGCGATTGCACACCATTCCAAAAATGCTTTTCATACCCAAATACCATGTGAACAAAGATTGAAAATCAAGTGACTTAAGAGTGCCTCCCAACTTTGCAATAGGTGGGCTGTTTTGGAACCAAGTTGTAAATTAACAAACACAACGTTAGAAATAATCAAGTGGGCAGTAGCTCCAAAAATCTTTTGGTAGCTCTAAGTGATCCATGGGTTCACCATTTTAATCCAAAACTCCACAAGGGTAAGACTCAGCCACTCAAATTCATAGGTCTGATATGCCATCAGCATTGTAATCCACTTTAACATACCATAAAAACCAGACCATGTTTACATTCAATGACCTCTCATTTGACCCAAAAAGAAAAATTAAAACAAACAAAAGTCATCATCACTTTTACAGCCTATAGCAACTTTCTTACCTCCCTTGAAAACAACCACCACAAAACACAGTAAACTCAAATTCCGGATTTTCCATGCGAACACGTGTATATATACACACAAATACAGATACATACGTATACGTATATAGATAAGGAGAGAGAAAGAGAGAGAGAGAGACCTTGAGATCAATATTGGAGCGAGAAGAAAGGAAGGGATTGAACTCAGGGTCTTTCTGGATGTCCTTCCACTTGCCAGTGCCATGCTTTTTCACGCCAGCTCTTAGAGCTTCTTCTTCCTCCGATGTCCATTTTTGCTTTGGATTTCCCATTTCTCTCTCTCCCTCCCTCCCTCTCTTTGCTTGTCTGTGTCTCTGTGTGTCACAGAATCTATGACTGCCGCGAAGAGACTTTGAGTGCTCTGCTTTTTCGTTCGGTTTGCTTACACAAAAACGAGGGTTCGTTTCGTGCCACTTTCTAACTGCATAATAATTTAACGATTTCAATGGCTGCCAAACGACGCCGTTGCCTCCCTCTCCATTTTTTTAACTTTCGGCCCATGAAAATGGAGAGCCATGCCCACAAAACTAAAGTTTCAACAAGGCCACGTCCATGACTAAGGCGAAGGCTTTTAAATATACCATGAAATTTAAAAGCCCGCCCCACCCACTTTTTTTTTATTTTTTTTATTTTTTTTATTTTAAATTATACTTCTATTTACAATAATTGATACGTCAATATTAAATTTATGGATAATATAATATAATATATGAAAAGGGGGGACATGAACCAAAGAATTCTTAAGTGAGGCTAAACTCATATTCAAGCCCACCTCATTATGAGAGCTATCGGATAGGACAACTCTACGCAAGACTATCTCACATTAAAACATACTGACTTCCATTTTTTTATGTTTTAAGTATAATTTTTGAGATATTATGGAGTGTCAAACTAATGTTATCTTTTCAAAATGCAACATTGGTCCCATAAATTTAGCATAGTTATCAAATCTAATGGTGCGACTTAGAAGTTTTGACCTTTTAAGTAGAAAATCAACTTATGCACTTGAAAAACTCACTTCAACATTTGAGAGCACATATACCTATATAGATCATATGTGTTTTTTTTTGTCCCTTGTAATATGATTCGGATCTTTATTGCATTGCACATGAGCTTGAACAATATCGGAAAATGTTTACATTGTCGGAAGATGTTTGAAGACGTTAAGTTAATAAATCATGATTAGATTAACATGAACATATGGTTTACAATAAGTAGTGGAGAAATCATGATTAGACTTACAACAGTTTCATAAAAAGGGGAGCCATTCGTTTTACATGAGCAGTGTAGCCTACGCATACCCACACAAATTCAGACATCTCCAAAACGGCAGCTAAGAAAGGAACACAGCTCGTCTTGATAAGGGAACTTTTTCCAAAGCGTGAGCTAATAGGAACTGCCCACGTGGCAGAATTCGGATGACTGTCTTAACGAGTAGCAAATTAAAACGCACCATATAACTCCCTTCCCTATCTCTAACGTCCCAGAGAAACCCAGCGGTCAGTGACTCAGTGACTCAGTGACAGGACTCGAAGCTCGCTCAGACTCAGAGAAGCATTCGTTGATATTTTCACCCAGAAAAATCTACATTTCTGAAATACCATTTTGCTCTCTCTCTCAAAGACTCAAACTGTTTGAACCAAAATTGAGAATAAAACAGTCCCAATGCAAGGCTCTGAGTTGTGAACCGTTTGAGACGTAGAGGAAGAGAGAGAAGCCGGTCTCATGGACTGCGTTGCGGCAATGACGGTGTCGTTTTTCCCGACTTGGAGGTCGAAAAGAAGAGGGCTGCCAAGTAAAAAGGACGCTCCTTTCTTTGGCTACGGCTTGTACAAGAAGCATTCTCTGCAAGTGAAAGCAAGTGCCGGAAGTGGAGGGGGTGTGGGTGTGGCTGTCAAACAAGGCTTTGCGGATGAAGAAGATTATATAAAGGCTGGCGGGTCTGAGTTACTTTTCGTTCAAATGCAGCAGAACAAGGCCATGGAAGAGCAGTCCAAGCTCTCTGACAAGGTTAACTCTCTCTCTCTCTGCCTGTATGGTTTTTGTTAGTCTTTGTATTTGAGTATGCATGAAACCCAAAACCCAAAACCCAATTTCTTGATGCTGTTATTTATTAATTTGCAGCTACCGCCAATATCTGTAGGAGATAATATACTGGATTTGGTGGTGATTGGTTGTGGTCCAGCAGGTCTTGCTCTGGCTGCAGAGTCAGCCAAGTTAGGATTGAAAGTTGGGCTTATTGGCCCTGACCTCCCTTTTACAAATAACTATGGTGTTTGGGAGGATGAATTCAAAGGTATTTACTATATTATCTGTCTTGTTAAGTGCATTATCCACTACCCAATTTAAAGCACTCCACCAAACTGTGATCACATTTTAAATTTGCTTCAATTTTTACATTTTCAGATCTTGGATTTGAAGGGTGTATTGAGCATGTTTGGCAGGACACCATTGTATATCTTGATGATGATTCTGACCCCATTCTGATTGGTCGTGCTTATGGACGCGTTTGTCGAACCAAACTACATGAGGAGCTTTTAAGAATGTAATTAGAACTCTATTCTACATTTGTAATTAATTTATGCTTGTATAACCGCACCTCAGAGATAGAGGGAAGATCCATGTCACACTGGTAATCAGCTGCCACTAACCAGTTACCTTGAAAACGGATGATTCTCTGGTCTTTGTCTAGTTCGTGAGCTGCTTTCTTAAGTGCTGACAAAACTGTAATTCTCTGTAGATTCATAATTCTATTAATTTTCTTAGGTGTGTGGAGTCAGGTGTTTCATACCTCAATTCAAGGGTGAAAAGTATTGTTGAAGCTAGCAATGGCCATAGTCTTGTAGCCTGTGACCGCGATACCATAGTTCCCTGCAGGTATGATGGAATAATTCTTCAATGTAGATTATTGGTGATGGTGTTCATGAAGACTATGTTTCTTTTTTTCTTTTTTCTTTTTCGATTCCACTTCTATCATACCTTGTTTCAAACTTCTAACATGGTATTATAGGCTTGCTACTGTTGCATCAGGAGCTGCCTCAGGGAAGCTTTTGCAATATGAGGTCGGTGGGCCAAAGGTGTCTGTTCAAACAGCTTATGGTGTGGAGGTTGAGGTAGGAACTATATTTGCAATCAGTAATAAATTAATGTTGTTGCTTAGGAAAAGAACAAAAAAGTAATATATAATACCCACTGTGGTTCTTTTGTATGCCAGAGTTTGTTGTTACTAGGTTTTGTTGCAATTCATAATATATCTTATATTGAATCCACACCATCTCCCCCCCACCCATAAAAAAAAGAAAAAATAATTGCCCTGTGCTCTGGGTTGACTAATTCCTATTGGGCAGATAATTTGTGATGACTGACTACTGTGTCCATTCTGTCTTACAATTTCAGGTGGAAAACAATCCATACGATCCCAACCTAATGGTTTTCATGGACTACAGAGACTACACAAAGCAAAAAGTTTCATCTTTAGAAGCAGAATATCCAACATTTCTTTATGCCATGCCAATGTCCCCAACAAGATTTTTCTTTGAGGTTTGCTTGATGTACATCAGTTTGTCTGTTACATTACTTGATTCCTGTACAAAAATTAAGAGAAAGTGATTTGCAGGAAACTTGCTTGGCTTCTAAAGAGGCCATGCCTTTTGATTTACTGAAGAAAAAGCTCTTGTCAAGGTTAAAGACAATGGGAATCCGTATTATAAAAACTTACGAAGAGGTAATTTTTATGACAGACTGCAATGCTTACCATTTTTTATATGTATTCTGAAAATATGTCCGAACTATGCTTCATGCCCATGCCATGTAGGGGAACAATCACTTGTTTAATTTGAAAGTTTCATCACAGTAATGAGGAGATTTTTCTAGCTTACTTTCATAATTCAAGGCAAAATTTTGCTGCAATTTATGTAGGAATGGTCTTGGATTCCAGTTGGTGGGTCCTTACCAAATACTGAGCAAAAGAACCTAGCATTTGGTGCTGCCGCTTGTATGGTACATCCAGCCACAGGTAATATTTAAACCAAATAAATTAATAAGAGCAGTTTCCCAATTGTTCAGTCTACTGATGCCTATAATTTTACTGTCATCAAGCAGGGTATTCAGTTGTGAGGTCTTTGTCAGAGGCTCCAAAATATGCTTCCGTGATTGCAACTATTTTGAAGCCGGGTCATTATAAGGCCATTCCCGGCCGTCAAATAAGTAATGAGAACATCTCGATGCAAGGTAAGTGTTGGTTTGGTTTGTTTAGAATAGCTACCTGCATCATACATTCCATAAGAATTAAAAACATGGATAATGAGTGTTTCAGACATTTCCATACTTTGAGAGATAACTATACTGTCATGAAATATTTTTTTCAAAAAGTTTGAAGGCTTGGTATCCTTTGGACCTCATTCTCGAAGTTTCAAGTTTAGCTTTTGAAAGATAATTAGCTTGAAGAGGAAGATCGTCTATCTCTTTCTACATGTTGTTTTGATTGAGAAGAGGAAATCTCTCTAACAACTTCTCTTACTGATTTTCTCCGTAGTGTAGTTTACATAGTTTGTAAACTTGCAGTCACAGTCGGTGTTGTTTAGCTTATTTTCTATATTTTGTATGTATAAGAGGTAGATAAAATATTCCTCTAAGTCACATAAACAAAATAACTAAAATACTTTTTTGATAGGACTTGCAAGATTTTTTTTTTATTTTTTTATAGGACTTGCAAGAATTATGCGTTGCGAGGTTTATATACGGTGCTGGCTCATTCCCCACTTAAAGTTTTATTTGCAAGGTGCAGGGTGGACTGGACCTATGTGTTTCTCTCTGTGAACATCTATCTGTCTCTCCATTTTAACTTTATATAATTACAAATCATTTGAATAATTTCATGCTTGCTTTAATGTTCCTGCTTATCTAGCATACTACTCTTTAGTAAATTTCGTTCCAAAAACATTCATGTCGTTACGGGAATATGTCTTTAGAGTATCTTCTAATATTTAAGATCATTTGTAAAATGAATTACATTTGATTCAATATAACTTTTCCTTGCAGCATGGAACACCCTCTGGCCGCAAGAAAGGAAGCGCCAAAGAGCATTCTTTCTTTTTGGGCTAGCACTTATTCTGCAACTGGACATTGAGGACATCAGGACATTCTTTCATACTTTCTTCCACTTGCCCACCTGGTGTGATCAGTTTTCTATATCTTGTGCATAAGTTGAACTAAATCTACAAATATATAGCTGTCTTAGTTCATGAACTAAGCTTGAACAGATGCAACAAAAAAGATTGATGGTTGCGCTTCCATTTGCAGGATGTGGCAGGGTTTCCTTGGCTCCACTTTGTCCTCAGCTGATCTAATGCTTTTTGCCGTGTACATGTTTGTTATAGCACCAAATAATTTGAGAAAGGGCCTCATCAGACATCTACTTTCTGATCCTACTGGAGCCACTATGATAAGAACCTATCTCACCCTATAGCCTGTCTGTGTGCCCTTCAATTCCTTCCCTTAGCAGCCCTACATAAGAACACAGTTTAGAATTAATACACTAAGATCCCACCCCACTTTTGGAAGTCACTTCCTTTTTGTGTAAATAATACAAATACTCTTCCCTCTGCTACCGTTTAGAAGATCAAAGATGTGATTAACAATTGTAGTAAATAAATGCGGTTTGATGTAGCATCATTCAATTATATGCTTGCCCACAAATTCAAGGACTTCATTCCTGTAATTATCAGTTTGTTTCTTGATTGTTTATATGCTAGCTCTTGTCCAACATCTTCCAATGACTAAAAGTTCAAGAAACCAATGAGCAATTTCAATGCTAAAAGTGCTCTTTAGACTTTGGGTTGCCTTCGTCCAATTAATATGGTCAGGTTGTATTAAAATTAAGAGCATCAAATCCGGTAATTAACAATTGAAAGAATCAGCACTCAGGCCTTGAGGGTTAAAAAAGCATGACGTCGATCTATCTACCCGTGTTTTTGTAGTAATTTGTGGGCATCGAGCAATTTCAATGGTTCCTTGTAAAGTTAATTTTGTTTAATATAACACAAGCATATACACTTTATGATGCTCCCTTGTGCGAAAAGTATTCCTTTCCGGTATCATATAATAATTTCTCGTATTTACAACTGGAAACACTAGCACCAGATTCTCTGTGTTCTAGATGAGGATTCGTAATTCGTAATTCGATAGATAAATTATAGAGTTGTCTCTGAATAGGGTTGCAAATCTTTGTTTAAATTAATCAAGCCCAATAATTTGGAATATCTTTGGTAAATTTATTATGTAAGTTGATAACAATTATAGTGTACAGAACATGTACTTGGCAGACGTAGAACCTAAGGTAACTTTCAAGTAGTTGATCAAAGAATCCTTTGCATTTTTTGTCAACTGATTGGCGTGGCACTTTCCAATGGAACATTTTGAGTACGATGGATTGATGCCCTAAATTAATCTTCTTATATAAATTATACAAATTTATAAATTAACCCTAGAAACCCTAATGTTTTGCACATAACCATATTTCAATCTGCAGCTTTCTTAAATTGCTTGCAGTAAGTTTGTAATTGAGCAAAAGTGAAGAAGCACACACATAGAAAGGTTTGTAAAGAAAGAAGGTGACAGAAGAAAGAGAGCACACATGGTTCTTTTCTTGCATGAACCGTCATGTTGGAAGCTATATGCGCTCTCTCTCTATCTGTCACCCTCTCTCTCTCTTTCTCAACTGCATACATACAAGAGAAATAGAACTATCTCAATTTAACTATTTGCATCTTCTTCTTCTTCTTTGTACTGTTGCATGTTCTACTATTGTGGCAACATTATTGTTATTCCATAAAATGCATGTAAATTAACATCCAAATATTAATTGGACTTCGGATTGTACCACTAATCAGGCTCCTTTTGTCATCCAAAAAAAGGGTATGTTAATCCCGATTATATGTGATCACTTATAACTATACATGTTAAGTAATTTAATAGTCAACGGGACATTGACTTGCAGATCAGTAGTCTCAGGTTTGAATTCTCATGTCATATTGACAATGTGCGCATGAGACAACTTCCTCTCTAATATCGCTTATGTCAATATAGTTTCTTAGCTGTGAAAATTAATTTGAACACGTAAAATTAAGTTTACAACTCGTTTGGTACTTCCATTTACCATTAGACCACACATAATAATCAATCACTCGTTGTTCACGTGATCATTGCGTGTTAGGCAAATCCCAAAGGATCTCAGCTAGGACTATACCCCTTCCATTATTCACCATAAACAATCAAGATTATAATTACTTCACAATAAAAGCTACTTGCTACACTATAAGCTCCTTGATTACATATATCTCAGCTCTTATCACAGACAGTGGCCGTGTTCATTCAAACAAACATGGACAACAAAGATAATCAGAAGCTTCACATCGCCATGTTCCCATGGCTAGCCTATGGCCACATAATGCCATTTCTCGAAGTCTCCAAGTTCTTAGCTCAAAAGGGTCACCGAGTCTCCTTCATCTCCACCCCCAAAAACATCCAGCGCCTCCCCAAATCATCCCTATCCCCTCTCATAACTTTTGTCGAGCTTCCTCTGCCGGCCATTGAAGGCTTGCCACAATCCACAGAGTCCACCTCCGAGCTACCAATTCACAAAGTCCCTTACCTCAAAAAAGCCTACGACTTGCTCCAGCCTCCACTCGCGCATTTCCTCCAACATTCGGACGTCAACTGGGTCATCCACGACTTCATTTGCCATTGGCTACCCCGAGTCGCGACTCAGCTCGGAATCAACTCGGTTTACTTCAACATCTCCAATGCCACTTCATTGGCTTTCTTTGGCCCTCCCTCTGAGCTACGCGGAGGTCAACGCCAGCGGCCGGAGGAATTCACGGTTGTGCCGAAATGGGTTGACTTTCCTTCTAATGTTGCTTTTAAGCTCCATGAGATGGTCAGCCACTGGGACTGCATGGACGATGAGGTCTCCGATTTTCAGAGGCTCGCGGATGCGATTCAATATTGTGACTTGGTGACCATGAGGAGCTCTCACGAGTTCGAATCCGACTCAGTGAGTTTACTCAGGAAACTGTACGGTAAACCCGTTGTTCCACTCGGGTTGTTGTCACCCAGCTCAGTGCCATGTCAGCACGGTGGCGCTGAAGATCAGGTGGATGAGAAGTGGGAAGTGTTGAGAGAGTGGCTCGACAATAAGAAAGAGAAATCAGTGATTTACATCGCACTCGGTACTGAGGTGACTCTGAGTCAAGAGTTGATGCACGAGTTAGCTCATGGGATAGAGAAATCCGGGTTGCCTTTTATTTGGGTGATCAACAATCGCCCATTAGTGGAAGGCATGTTGGGTGCGGATATTATTCCTCCCGGGTTTGAAACCCGGGTGGATAACCGCGGTTTGGTGTGGAGGGGTTGGGCCCCTCAACTTAAGATGTTGGGTCACCCGTCTGTTGGGGGTTTCTTAACTCACTGTGGTTGGAGTTCGGTTATTGAGGCACTCGGGTTTGGAAGGGTGCTTATTTTGTTTTCCGGGGCAAATTCGGATCAAGGGTTGATTGCGAGATTGTTGCACGGGAAACAGGTCGGGTTGGAGATACCGAGAGACGAGCAAGATGGGTCATTTACGAGTGACTCAGTGGCTGAATTGACCCGCCGAGTGATGGTTGACGAAGAAGGTGAGTCACTCAGGTCAAATGCATGGGCCATGAAGGAGATTTTCGGCAACAAAGAGCTGAACAACAAGTGCTTGGACGAGTTCACTCGGTTCCTTGAAACATGGCCAGCTTCAACCTAATCACTCTGCACAATCAATGCCTTGGGGCCTCTTGTCAGAAATTGTGCTTAAGATGCTTGCCTTTTATTTATTTCGTTTTTCTTCTTTGTCCACAATAATAAAGGCATTGCAGTTGGATGTGGTCATATGATCATCCAAAGAAAAAAGTTGTGGTTTATATTAATTTCCCAGACAACTGAATCTTTGTGAAACTAACTTTTTGAATGTCGTTTCTTCATCTTGATTTTTTCTTGAGTAAACAGTTGTGCTAAGCATGATTGCAAACAGCCAGATTAGTGCAGATATTTCTTTACAAAATATCACATGCAATCATTTGGTAACAGATTTAAGATTTTTTTCGAATCAAGTAGTCCTTTCTCACATTTCTGACCATAATGGCAGAAGGCCCTATGACAAAAATAAACCAGTCCTAAGGGATGGATCACCCTATGAGGCATTTTAAACTTTGTCCTAGACTAATAAAATGACTTGCAATAATTGGTAACTGATGAGGTTTTTATCAAGTAAAGTCTTGTACCTATTAATTTTACCATATATTTTTAGAATTAAAATAATTTTAAAAAATGCTTTGATCCTCGTTTTCACCTTGAATATGTAGTTAAACATAGAATTAAATCGGTGGATGGTTAAGAAATGTCATAACCGATCCAATTAGATCCAGCATAATCAGAAAACCCTAACCGCTCTCTCCCTCTATGAGTCCTAAAAGAAAATTCCATAGAGGGGGGAGAAGGAAGAAGCGTCACTGTCCCTCCTCCCCCTCCTTTATTCTCGTCTTTTCCTTTTAGGTTAGTGAATAAGTGCACTAGAGCATTTTGAATAAAAAAAGTCTCTTGTGGTAGTTTTTTCTAAGCCATGGTTAGATTGAAGTTCCCCATCATCCTTTTTAGTCTATGTTCTCAGTCAAATCTTACTCCCAAAACCTGCTCCTCGGCGCCGCTCATGTTCTTTAAATTTGATTCTACATCATCTTTGACGGATGTTGCTGCAAATCACCCAACTGTTCTTTAGCAAAGTTATTGTTTTCGTTTATTTGTTCACTCTTATGCGCAAGTAGATCGCTGGAAATCATATTTTCCCCATATCTGTTACTGAGGCGGTGGTGGGTGTGGCCACAATGACGCTTCTTCAAGTGGTGGTGATAGGGTTCGTTTAGGCTCATTGGTTGATTTAGGGTTTTGGTTATTTTGGTTTTATGGGTTTTGTTTGGACTTATGGCTAATTGTGGTGATGTGGGCTAGTAGTTTAGTTCGGTTTTTGTCCGTATTAATTTTTTTTTTAGCATGTTAGTTTGTTGCCCTATTGAGATTGATATTTTAGATGTCTTGTTGATGTCTTTGATTATACCGTTGAAGTTTATCTGTCTTGTTAAGTGCTTTATCAACTACCCAATTTAAAGCACTCCACCAAACTGTGATCACATTTTAAATTTGCTTCAATTTTTACATTTTCAGATCTTGGATTTGAAGGGTGTATTGAGCATGTTTGGCAGGACACCATTGTATATCTTGATGATGATTCTGACCCCATTCTGATTGGTCGTGCTTATGGACGCGTTTGTCGAACCAAACTACATGAGGAGCTTTTAAGAATGTAATTAGAACTCTATTCTACATTTGTAATTAATTTATGCTTGTATAACCGCACCTCAGAGATAGAGGGAAGATCCATGTCACACTGGTAATCAGCTGCCACTAACCAGTTACCTTGAAAACGGATGATTCTCTGGTCTTTGTCTAGTTCGTGAGCTGCTTTCTTAAGTGCTGACAAAACTGTAATTCTCTGTAGATTCATAATTCTATTAATTTTCTTAGGTGTGTGGAGTCAGGTGTTTCATACCTCAATTCAAGGGTGAAAAGTATTGTTGAAGCTAGCAATGGCCATAGTCTTGTAGCCTGTGACCGCGATACCATAGTTCCCTGCAGGTATGATGGAATAATTCTTCAATGTAGATTATTGGTGATGGTGTTCATGAAGACTATGTTTCTTTTTTTCTTTTTTCTTTTTCGATTCCACTTCTATCATACCTTGTTTCAAACTTCTAACATGGTATTATAGGCTTGCTACTGTTGCATCAGGAGCTGCCTCAGGGAAGCTTTTGCAATATGAGGTCGGTGGGCCAAAGGTGTCTGTTCAAACAGCTTATGGTGTGGAGGTTGAGGTAGGAACTATATTTGCAATCAGTAATAAATTAATGTTGTTGCTTAGGAAAAGAACAAAAAAGTAATATATAATACCCACTGTGGTTCTTTTGTATGCCAGAGTTTGTTGTTACTAGGTTTTGTTGCAATTCATAATATATCTTATATTGAATCCACACCATCTCCCCCCCACCCATAAAAAAAAGAAAAAATAATTGCCCTGTGCTCTGGGTTGACTAATTCCTATTGGGCAGATAATTTGTGATGACTGACTACTGTGTCCATTCTGTCTTACAATTTCAGGTGGAAAACAATCCATACGATCCCAACCTAATGGTTTTCATGGACTACAGAGACTACACAAAGCAAAAAGTTTCATCTTTAGAAGCAGAATATCCAACATTTCTTTATGCCATGCCAATGTCCCCAACAAGATTTTTCTTTGAGGTTTGCTTGATGTACATCAGTTTGTCTGTTACATTACTTGATTCCTGTACAAAAATTAAGAGAAAGTGATTTGCAGGAAACTTGCTTGGCTTCTAAAGAGGCCATGCCTTTTGATTTACTGAAGAAAAAGCTCTTGTCAAGGTTAAAGACAATGGGAATCCGTATTATAAAAACTTACGAAGAGGTAATTTTTATGACAGACTGCAATGCTTACCATTTTTTATATGTATTCTGAAAATATGTCCGAACTATGCTTCATGCCCATGCCATGTAGGGGAACAATCACTTGTTTAATTTGAAAGTTTCATCACAGTAATGAGGAGATTTTTCTAGCTTACTTTCATAATTCAAGGCAAAATTTTGCTGCAATTTATGTAGGAATGGTCTTGGATTCCAGTTGGTGGGTCCTTACCAAATACTGAGCAAAAGAACCTAGCATTTGGTGCTGCCGCTTGTATGGTACATCCAGCCACAGGTAATATTTAAACCAAATAAATTAATGAGAGCAGTTTCCCCAATTGTTCAGTCTACTGATGCCTATAATTTTACCGTCATCAAGCAGGGTATTCAGTTGTGAGGTCTTTGTCAGAGGCTCCAAAATATGCTTCCGTGATTGCAACTATTTTGAAGCCGGGTCATTATAAGGCCATTCCCGGCCGTCAAATAAGTAATGAGAACATCTCGATGCAAGGTAAGTGTTGGTTTGGTTTGTTTAGAATAGCTACCTGCATCATACATTCCATAAGAATTAAAAACATGGATAATGAGTGTTTCAGACATTTCCATACTTTCAGAGATAACTATACTGTCATGAAATATTTTTTTTCAAAAAGTTTGAAGGCTTGGTATCCTTTGGACCTCATTCTCGAAGTTGTTAATTCCTTAAAGCCATAACATGTTTAACACTAACCT